AGAAACATGATTAAATTCCATTATCTTACATAATATCTTAAACATTTTATAATATCTTTCTCATTAAATAGATCAATTTTATCCACAACCGCTTGTAATGCTTTATTTGCCATATCCTCTTTGTAATCTTTATCGTGTTGTTGTTGCATGAATAGGTCAAAAGCCTCAAACATGCTTGTGGAATTGGGATCAAAATTCATACATTATCTTTTACTTATAGCTCTACTTCCAACTCCACTTGAAGCACCATCAAAAGCCTTTTCTTCTATTTTCTTGCCTTCCTTCTCCAAAATTCAAATAAACCAAAAACAATTCCAAATACCTTCTACTTTAAGCTTTACATGTTGGATTCACCAAATATATTGTATTACTTGTATTCTCGCTTAAAAATACACAGGATACCTAGTTATAGAACATAAATAACAATACAACAATAATTCTACTAAGTCTAATAAAACCTTAAATAAACTTCAAATAATTTCTAATAAATCCAATCAAATTTTAACATATCAAAAAAATTTAAAAGAAGTCACAAAAAAAATTTTAAAATCCTAAAGAAATATTAAAAATAAAAATTCTAATATAATCTTAATTAAAATTCTAATTAAATTTTAATCAAATTCTAAATCAAATTATAATTAAAACTCTAATTCAATCTTAACCAAATCTTACGTCAAACTCTAATAAAATCCTAATGAAACCTTAAATCCTAAACAAATCCTAAGAAAATTCTAAACCAAATTCTAACCAAATCTTAATTCTAATTAAATCTTAGATCAAATCTTAAATCAAACTTTAATCAAATCTTAGATCTTAAATAAATTCTTAACAAATTCTTAATAAATAGAACCTCAATAATTAATGATCAAACTATTGATATCAACTCAAAGTATACACACTTCTTAATATCTTAGTTAGAAACAAGCACAAAAAAGATGAAATTGATTGCATTTATCAATAAAGTCAAATATAAGATAATCCAATCAGGTATTGGACGGCCTTCTATTTCAACCTAAATATTGAACTTCCAATATAAATTTTTCTTTTTTAAATAATTTAATTTCTTTTAAATTTCATCTAAACATTGAAAATCAAGTCTAATATCTATACAAAAAAAATCACTTCAATCTAATTGAGAAGTTCCTGAAAATCTTAGAAATACTCATTAATCTTCAAACTCCAATTTTTAAGACCTCAATCTATAAAAATCTTCACACATGTTAATTTAATCATTCAATCAACCTCAAAATTTACACACATTTAAAACTAGCATATTAACACATTGTCCATAATTCACCCCTGTATACACTACAAAACTCAAGAAATCCTCAAATTTGTAAACATATTTTTATTTTTTAAAATCTAAACCAATCCAAAATATCACTAACTTTAAAAATCCTTCAAAAGCTCAATATTGATTCAATTGACATAAAACCAATGTTTAAAAACCTCTTCTCATGTTTGCTCACAAATTTCATTCTTTGATCTACCAAAGAACTTTGGAGACACCATAGGTGTATGGTTTTGTGCCTCGAAGTCTGATTTCAATCCAAATTGACAACCAGTTTGGCTTCTTGAGATAATTTTTGCTAAAATCTCTTCTTAACTCCCTCCTAAATATGCCTATATCATTTAATTATCCAATCATTTTTTTTGCCTTATTTATGGCCTTACAAAGTAAATAAAAGCCTATTTTATAAAAAGGTAGTATTAGTACTTTTTAATTTTACTATCTTTTTAACTATTATCTATATTTATAAGATAATTTTTCATAATATTTTAAAATAAGATCTTCTATAATATAATGTTTTCTTCTCTCTTTCATTCATTAATTTTATTATATCATAACTCTGCCTTGTCTAACATGGTGGCAAAGTATATTGCTATAACCATTGCCACCTCTGAGGCTATTTAGCTATAACATCTCCTTCATATTCTACACCATAGCACAAGTCTATGCAAAGCCACTCTTATTTAAAGTTCTAATAGTATTGAAGCCAAAGCCAAGAAAAAATGGAAACTTGTAGAGTTGATCAAAGCAATTTGTAGTACTTGATCTCCAAAAAGGAAAATGAAGTGGATGCATGGGTGTGAATTAGATTGGACTTGATAAATTATTAAGGTCTTAATAATAAATATCTTTAATTTTTATTATCATTTCTCTCTTTGTATATCCACAAAATACAATTGCAATCATGCAATTAGATAAACAACTTGTTTTTGGTAGGTGTGTCTATAGACCTCCATAATTTAGCAAAATTTGTTGATGTTTAAGTGTTATTTTCATATAATTTAAATTTGGAGGAGTGTATTTTGATCTCCATATTTTTATTGATTCTTGAACCTATACAGATTGTGTACTTTGACATTAAGCACAAACATGTTTGGCATTTGTAAAATATACATTGAAGACAAAATCTTAGGTGCCTCTATTTTTTTCAAATATCCTTCATTATTTTATGGTGTTTAATAATTTGAAACAATTATACAATAGAATTCTTTCAGTTATAGAATTTAATATTGCAAGTGGATGCTATTGAGCTATATTTATACATTCAAATTGTTTCCCACTTAGTTAGCCACTTGTTTACTGGTATATACCATTCATTATTTGTATGTATGCTACTCCTACTCTTTTGGTCTTTTGCCACCACCATCATTGTATAGATTGCTTATTCATGAGATGGCTAAATTTTAATTATGAGATAGAATGTTTGAAGTGACAAAGTTTACAAGTGATCATGTACAAGAGGGTTTAGAATTAAATTGAAATACTTTTGAATGAAGAACTATGAATTTTGCAATCACAAACTCGTGTTTTTTTGAAAAGGTGCTCATTATCTTTTTCAAAATGATTTCTATTCAGGTTTTTTAGTACTTTTTTTGTTTTTTTGTTTTTTTATTTTTTTTTTGGTAGAAAATATGACTTGAATTGTCAATTAATTTTAGTTTGGTTAATTTTGAATTGGCTCCTAAATTTTTCTTAAGTTGAGTAAAGAAGGTGTATTTCTTGTGTAAATAAAATATTTTTGTAATATTTTTTTTTTATCTCTAAAACATCTTTGAAAATAATTTTTTATAACAAAGCTTGCCAACTTGAAACAAAATTTAATCGTCTTTTAATAGATGAAGAATTGATTGTATTTTGTCTTGTATTATTACATATTATTTTTATCATATTATAATTCATAATATATTGTAAGATGCAATATTATTGTCTAGCATACAAATTATTTTCATTACTCTATCTATAAATATATTTTAAGATTCTAGAATTTGATGTATTTTTTTAAAATAATAGTATAAATTAGGATTATAGTGGAACATATATTATTATATGTATCTCTTGTCGAAAATCTGAACATAAATAATGTAGTCTAATCTTATATTTGCATTCTCATAAGATATTTTTCAAACTTGTGAATAATCAACTCTTTTGTTTGTGCACAATTAAGTGCAAAATCCCTCTTGATTATTATTAAGATATACTTTTGCTACAAATTTAGTGTTGTTTTTAATGCCAAATTAATATATTAATTTTTTTAAGTTTGTGTATATTTTTAAGTTTAATTATTTTAAGTATTTTTCTTATAGAAAGTTTTTAAGATTGATAGCATTAAAAAAATTGCAATAGTATTCTTATTAAGTAGATTGTTAAAAAAAATTTACCATGTAATTTAATAATTTCTATTATTTTATTCATATCTTTTTAGATTAAGAATTAGCTCACAATAAGGATTATTGAATATAACCAAAATTTGACATCAAATCTTTATTACAATAAATATTATAATTTAAATTTAATAAAATGCTCATAAAGACTTAAATCACATGTGAGATTGTCAAAGATTGCAAATTAGAGCTTGTTTGCAACCTCAAATTTCTTGTCAAAGTTTCATCTCTAAATAACCTACAAGACTTGACTTGAAATGTATAAATAAATATTGGCGTGGAAATTTCAAGAAAGAATTTATCATTCTATTATATAGAACTTGAAGTTTTAAGTACTTTTTGTAGTTGGTCAATATTTTTATGCAAAGAAAGACCAATCCACTATTTCCTTTTGAAGGTGCCCAACCATCTTTGAAAGACTACCTCTTCACAAGACAAGTAGGTATAGACAAGGTTCTAAATAAAATGATGTTCTTTGTTCTATAAGTAGATCTAATTGTTGTCAAAGTTCTATTTACAATCAATTATGTGATGTTTCTTATGTAAACATGTTGCTTGTTTTTGAGAAATACATTTCTCTTTACTTATTAATTGTGTTGATACCAAATATGTAATGAATGTTGATACATAACTATGTTATGAGTGAAATTATAAATTGTATTTATTTACAAGAATAATTCATTTACAAATGTTGTGTTTTCACCCCAAATATATTGAACTTCATACTGAAAATATCTGATAAATTTTACCCCACATGTCAGGTATAAACTATGAATCCTACTTGAAAAGAATTTAGTTTGTGCCAAAAAGGATTTAGTTTTGAATATCTTGTTTAATTCGGACTTTTGACAATACAAAAGGAGTGTTGTTCTTAAAGTGATGGCAATAGGGTTGAAAACACCCCATGTTTTCAATGAGAAATTGCAAGTGCATCCCAATGTGGTACTTAAGGCTGATCATGACAACTAGACTCGGTAGCGTGTTCAACGAAGTATTTCATTTAGAAAGTCTGCTGTATGACTTTCCTTCAAGTTATGTTGATAAAATACTACTATCACAAGACCTTTGGAGAAACCTCACTGCAAGTTTAAATCTAGACAGTACTTAAACCAACCCACTCAGGGTGAGTGTTCTACAGGGACTCTGGACGGGGAGCCGAATAGGAGACTGAGTTTGTCATAGTCTTTCATATTGTTGATGCTAACAAGGTTCACCAAAAATGTCGAAATTTCAACATTAGTTGCAACTAAAAAGTTAAATGAGAAAGCACAGGGAAGTACATGTTTAGCAAAGCCAACATATGTCATGCACAGAAATGGTTGCAGTGGTTGAAAACAACATGCAAGCATAACTAGACCAGATCAGATGAGCAGACCATGGCCATTCAATAGAACTTGTATCAAAATGTACAGAGATCACTGAAATGGCTGAGCATCCAGTTAATAAACTACGTGATTACCTCAAGTTCAAAAACTGTCGTGAACTAAATTGTGTTCACAAAGAGCGCTCTCCAATCTTGTGGAGAGGGTAAAAGCTTGAGAAACATCACTAGACCAGACTGGACTATCTGCCCCCCACTAATTAAGCTTCAATGAAATCATAAGGAAAGAAAAATAACTAGTTGCAACCAAATCGCATTAAGACTAAAAAGCTCATCTGCACAAGAAGATGTGCCTTTAAACAAGCTTAGCTGACCTGAACAGAAGATCTTGCAGGACTATGCTTTTGCCTGCACGTTGCCAACATACAAAATATTCAGTCCATTGAAGTCATTATCCAAATTTGTAGAATACACAAAACCGCTAGGGGTCCATGGAGGCAATGAGTAAGTGAATTGGGTTATTGAGAGTACCAAAAAGAGTCTTTCTTCTCTTGGGCTAGCAGCTCTTCAAATGAGAGCTCTTCGTCGTCAGCATTAAATTTCTCAATCAACTGTCCTGTATTTGGCTGCAATTCAAAATGTGCACGACCATATTCCAGCATCTTCAAGGCATAAGACAGAACCATTGTTAGCCATATTAGCGATACTATCACCAAAAACCTAGACATCTTGGTTTTATCGCGACATAACAAACGACCTCGCTCAAAAGGTAGACATGGTGTAGCTTTAAAACAGAAGCACGCGAAAATACATAAACTGATGAATGTTTTCTGCATTACATTTTAAAGTTTGCTCTAGCCCACCATCTAAGACGCCAAAAGCTTCATTGAAGTACAGATTTGCACCAATGACAATACCTTCAAATATGCTGGGGAAAGCTTAAGTTGCTCCTGTAGTCGATTGTACACAACAGTATCTTCTTCCAGTTTCTTTTGCTCATTTTCTAACCCATAAATCTGAGGAATCCATACCCGACATCAATGAGATTTCCAATACAAAAATAAAAGATGCTTGTCTGTAGAAATAGTATCCTGGCGGGAAATCATACCTGCCCACATAGCCGATCAAATGAGGACTTGTCTGCTTTAGAAAGTAACGATTTTGCGATTGTAAACCTCCGCTGAATGGTGTCCGACCTGCAAGTAATGAGAATAAAAGTCACACGAGTAACAAAATGTGAGAAGGTGATCCAAGTGATTAGAAGGTTCAAAAGAGTAATGCCATGAATATTATTGCAAGTTCCGACCCAACAGGAAAACTAACATGGTCAGCATTCTGTACAGAAAACCGTTACTACAACCCCTACTAAGAAATTGACAACCGCGCTTGGCCCCGCATTCGGCAGTACATCACTGCTTGATATGAGAGAGCTTGCAATATAACAAAAAAAATCTAATCTCTACTACTCTACCTTGAAATCCATGAAGGGTGCTCGTGCTTACTTTTGTTGTAGAGCTGATTTAGTTTCAACTAAGCATGTAGTAAAACGTCCAACCTGGAAAACAACACACCAGTATACGACATCTTTTATGCAAGCCATTCAACCGATGACGAGGTCCTGAATTTTTGACCTGGCTGCTTAGAAGGTGGGCTGAAAGATGATTATGCCCATGACCTAATGCCCACTAGTGCGCTAAGCTACATCTATGAATGACACGTGTATTCAGTAACTATATTCAGAAGTGAACCCAAAAGTATGTCCAGACAGTGGTGTCCAACCTGTGCAAGGGTGAGAGTCTTGGCTGCATTTGACCGAACCAGTTCATCGTATTGTTCCTTGATCTTTCTTTGCACCATGCTACCAGAATAAGTGAATGGATACGGGCAGTTACTGCTATGGCAACCGCCTTTAACAGTGCCACAGAGACATCCTAATTCTACCTCAGATGATGCTGCCACGGTATGTGTTCCACTGTGCTCTGTGACCAGCTTCTCTGACTCCTTCACATCAGTTGACACATCTCCTGTTCCTGATACCGCAGCTCGCTTTCCCTTGTGTTTTTTGCTACGATGCTTCTTTTTCTTCTTCTCCTTTTTCCCATCTGCATAATTTTCATCATATCCCTGGCCACCCTTCAATCCTACTGCTGCTGTTCCTTTCTCTCATTTACATATAAAGTAGTCTTTATTAATCAATCATTTCTACCAAATAACATTTGAGAGAAAGCGACTTGTGATACTAAACAAATAGGTCAACATACAGCAAGGGACCGAATTCAATGAACAATTAAACAGAATACTCTTTAAAATGAAAATTGTCATAACAGTACGAGCCATTTGCCTAGTTCTTGCAAATTACCTTTTCCAGATCCACCACCTTCTCTCATACCTTCCTCATCTAGCAAAATATCCGAAGAGTGATTACTGCAAAAGCCTGCAGAACTTTCAGTTTTCCCTGTTTCTGTCATCATTCCTCCCAAAGCAATTCCAGTTCCCATGCCTACTCCTTTCCCAACAATTGAATCGACATTAAGTGCTGCCAGAGCTGATGCAATGTCTGCAGTTACACCCTTTGTGCACTCCTTCACCGACTTTCCTTTGGCACCCGCTTCCAGTAAACTAATCCTCAATGCACCCAAGCCATCAGGAGACAGGTTATTCGGGCCCTGGTGACTCTCAGGTGCTCTACATGTTCCTAAAGATTGTCCTCCAGAATTCACAGAACAAGCCGTTGCAGTTGGCAAACCACTTGAAAGGCTTGAACACTGAAGAGATGCAGATCCTCCTTTTGACTTCGATTTGGAGGAAGAGGTTAAGTTACTGTTTGACTTAGACTTTGTGGCATTTGCAGAGAAAGACGACGACGAAGCCAGTGAACCGCTTGTATTCATATTATTACTGGCAGCACTTCCATTTCCTGTGGCTCCTCCTACAGCTCGCACATTCAAACGTTCAAACTCATTAGACATGACTGCAGCAGCATTGGATTAGCACTAAGAACGTACCCATCCACTATCTGACTGGTAATAACGAAAGTACAGACTCCCCTTAGGTCGATACCTTGTTTTGAAACGTGACACACAGTTTTAAGCCCACTAGAAGCAGATCGTGGAAGACCGTTGGAGATGCATGAACCCGTCTCTGTACTAGGGATCGATCCACATGTCGTGCTTGTAAGATCTACTGGGGCAGTAGTACTTATTAGAAAGGTTACAAAACGGAGTGAGTCATAAGCGAACGTATCCAATTACATGTTCTCCAAGTAATTGAACACATTGTGGTGAAAAAGTTCGGTGCAAATTCGTGTCTTAGAAGCGACTACTGAGATATTGAAGTGCATATTTACGTCACGTAATATCGATTACAAGTTCAAGATTGAAAATAAATGATATGCACCATAACTGAGAAGGTCTACTTCACATTGTAAAACAAATTCACGATGGCCAAATCAGGGGGTAGTAACAAGTCGAGAATCCCTCTATCAAGGAAGCTTTGAAGGACAGCAAGCAAAACAACTCTAATCGAACTCTTAGATTCTAAGTCGAGATTTTCGCTTACCTCGAATATTACCCTAGTGATTGGTCTAATATTACACTTACCTCGATTATAGCACCTACTGATCAAGCAAAGAATTGTAGCGATGAACAGTTGTCATCCCCTCGAAGATTAAGAGACCTTCCGAATACCTGTTAGGTTGTCATCTCGCTCCAGTAAGTTTGGGCCCTCAGCACCTAATGTAGAAACCGCTGCTACATTGGCGAGGCTGTCCGAACTTGCATTTGATTCCAATTTCAATCTTACTCCTGTGGCACGTGGGAGTGCTCCGCCTTCTCCATCACATAAAAGTGACAGTTAAATTAAGACCAAACTTCAATTCAGGATCATGCAAATACGAAGTACATGCTGCAATATAGCACGATTTTCTCACAACATACACCAAAAATAATCACAACTTTACTTACCCTGACTATGATAGCAACAAACAAACTCACTGTTTTCTAACTTCCAAACTCTTGTGACATCCTCCGAAAGAGGAATAAAGATGAAACACGACTTGATTTAGTTGCCATGTATATCTCCTTGCAAAAAGAACTTCACTCAAAAGCGCGTACCTGAAGTGGACATAAGAATCTCCAACACAAGCCTTCTTTGTGGGGGCTGTTCCGAGGTCCCGTTCTCGCCGCCAGTGCTCGAAGCGCCTGGAGAACGAGGAAAAAAAAAATTCCTATTCAGTACTTGAGATGAAATCAGGAGGATCTCCACGCCTCAATCTTAATCACTTCACCATTTTTTCAAGCTTAGATATTTATAAAGAAAGCCAACTAAGTACAAAGACATTTAATAAGACCCAGAACTTGAATATTATCAAGCATCAAATATAACTTTTTCATGAATGATTGAGCCTTACCACATGACGTGGGAGCTGAAGAACTTGAAGGAGTAGTTGTGGTTATGGTCGTTGTGATGGTGGTTGTGGAGCCAGCGCCGGAAGCATTCACGGAAGCTGAAACAGAGGGCCCAGCTGAAATGCTTACTGGACATCCAGTTGATACAGCAGGATGTTGGCATTCGCCTGCCTTCAAAATTGGAGTGTCGACCTTTCTTATTCTTTTAAAAAGTTTCCCTGCATTGAGCCAGCTTCCTTGAAGACATTTCACAAAGTCAGGTCTTTGGAAAGTCTGGCTTCCAAAGCATCGCAAAAGCAGTGCCCCTAAGGTCAGTTTTTGATAGGCAGCATCCGCGAGCGCTTGTAAAACTCCTTCCGATTTCACTACTTCTGGTTTCTCAGTACTTCTAGTAGATGGTCCTTTTCGGTTTCGAACATTCCCACACGGGCAGAAAAGCTGTCTAGACTCAAATGCTCCAGTAAAAGACTCGTGCTGTCGCTTGTTCTGGACGCGAAACGGTCCTGCATTGCTTTCTACCAGGTGGAAGCCAATTATCGTTGCCAGCAAGAGCCCCGTCAAGATTCCACCAGCTACGGTGAGAAACAGCCATGCCGGCATCTCTAGGCCTACTGCTTAACCACCTGCTTGGGAATAACGCGGACACATAGAAAGAATAGAAATTGGCTGAATAACCAAGACAAGGCAAATGAGAACCAGAAATCCTCTTAAATCGAAAACAAACTTTGAACTAGTTGCGCCTGCAGCTAGGAGGGTTTTATTTTATGACGAACGATGTCTCCTGCAATAAATTTAAAGCACTCCGCCAAAGGCATTTCTTCGTGGATTTTGGAACCTGGTCGCTCCACTACAACTGCGTCCATATTAACAATGAAGACCCCATGAGCCATAGCGATTTCCACAATGTAAAATGAACAAGAGCAAATGAGGGATGCTGGAAAAAAGTCAAAACCGAATAAACCTCTCGAGGAAAGTAAAACCAGATCAGATATCCCGACATCGACGCTAAAAGCCAAAACAGAAATTTCCAACACAGGAATAAATCACGAGCAACTGCAGAACTTCTGCGATCAACATTCAAGGACTACTACAATTAGCCTGTAAGAAAACCTCCACAGTCTACAAAACCCTAACACCCACAATAGTTTCCAAACCCCAATGTGTTTCGGACTTTGATGTCTCTTTACACTGCGGCCTGTAAGTAGTATAATAAATAGGAAAATTGAAGACTAGGTTTAGATTCTCGAAAGCACTTTGAAGTGTCCCAATGTATCCTTTAAATCTCGACATGACGCCCCGACGGGACAATGACGCAAATAAATGTGATACAATCAAACTAAGAACAAAGCGGTCCAGGATGCCCTCCTTACTTAAATTAACATATCTAACAGTAGTGAGTGGACTCGTTACCAATGCTTGCTTATTTTAGGGCTTTTGAACAATTATAGGTAAGAACAGGATAATTTGAACGATATCAGTACTCATAATCAACTTGATAACCAAGCCCTCGAAATTCTAGGTGTTGCAAGACATGGACTAAGCATAGTGAAATAAAATAATTCAAACGTGATATGTGTTACGCATTACGCTGAATCCTTAACGGAGCGCATCGCATGATCCCAACCACTAATCGAGCCAAGATACAGCTCCAGGATGTAAACGGAATCCCAAAGCAAGACTAAGCTCAAAGAGAAGCCATGATCGAAGGCTTTACAAACCATCTAGGACAAGATTCACGCTGGAAAAATATCGGACAGCGATAGAATTACCATCCTACGAACCAAAGGCACCAAACATTACAAACAGTGTCACTCCCAACCCCTCACCGCAAGTTAAACCCAAAATAAATCGAAACCAGGCAGTCTCTCAACAAAGCAGATACCGCTCTCGCCCTCTCTCTCTCTCCCTCTCTCCCTCCTCCCCTCTGATGCCAGCACCATAACCACTACCTCTGATCGACGCCATCAACCCACCCTCGATCCCTAAGCTAGCAAATCCTCACCACAACCCCTCACCCACAAACACGACCCCATGAGGAAGATGGCTACCACTCGCTGACAAACCTGGAGACGGCCGCGCAGAACCCTCTGATTGCACAAGACGACGTTACCAAGTGAGAAGTCGGTCTTGTCCTGTCCCTCTCTCTGTCTCTCTCGCTCCCTCTGTCTCTTTCGCTCTCTCTCTTTCTCTCTCTCTCTCAATAAATCAGTGAGTGTCTCTCTCTCCCAAGCTTCAAGCGAAGGAACAACGATAGACCATAAGGAGGATGTAAACGTACAGGTAGGTAAGACGAATGGCGCGAGGTGGAAACAGAGAGCGAGAGAGAGGAAGAAAAGCAGTATCTGGAAATGGCGTCAGACTGTCCTGCTTGCTGACTGTATTTGGAAATATGTGTCTCGCTGTGACGCACGCGATGAAGTGATGATGGTAGTGCGTTCCTTTGGACTGATCGGTAAGTGATCTATTTATAAACCAATTATCGTGGCAACTCAGTATTCTGTGTGGGCCCGTGCCACACAGGGATAAGCACAGCAAGCCAGCTTTGTTTGAGTGGAGGACGAAGCCATGAACCAAGCAGGCCCCCTTCTCAGGGCCCGCAAAAAAACAAATCCCTAATCCTGGAGTTCGAAGAATCCGCCTCAACGGGGGCTTCCCTTTCCATTCCTACTTGAATGAACACATGAATGAACGAGGGAACCCATCGGATGGATGAAATCATTGAGTGGATGACCAAATAATCGACGAATGACTACAGACGGATGGACAAACGGACGCGGAAACTGAAAGAAAATAGAGAAAAAGAAAAAGATGTGATCATATGATGTAGTTCTTGTTTACGAAAAGCTCAGAACATTAAATGTATTACATTGATGATGTGATTAAATATATTAAATATATTTCAAGGAATATTCAATAGACTCAAAATTTTACTAAATTAACCTAATCATCATTAAAAATATAATAAATAATAATTTATAGATTCATGTATCTATTATTGGATTTGCAGCCAATAGAAACTAACCATATTCTTCATCAAGGGTGGGTCTATTTAGTAAAAGCATGGGTCTATTTAACATTCCCATATATTTAAAGTCTCATAGCATTAAATGTATTATATTAGTTCTTAAGTTGATTCATATTTAATTATAATTAAAATATTTTTAACTATATATATATATATATATATATATTACCTAATTTAATTTTGAATTTAAAATTTTTAAATAGTAATTATTCAAAATAAGATATTGCAAAAAAATATTTTACTTATATTCTATTTTAAAATAAATAAATTCAAAATATATAATTTTATTTATTTACTTATTTACTTATTTACTTATTTTATGTTATATTTTTTTCTAAAAAGCTACTATAAATATATATATATATATATATATAGAACATCCAAATTTTCAAGAATGTTTTAATAAGTTTTGTGCTAAAAAATATCATTAACTAATACACAGTTTTTTAATTTAAGTATTATTTTAAATATATTCAAAGAATCTTACATTACACAAATTGCAGGCAAAACTTTAATTATTTATGGTATCATTTTTCCAAATGTGTCTAGATGAAAATAGTTTTTAATTTCTATTTCATTCTAAAATAATTTTAACATATTTTGTACACTTCTAATATGCAAATAAATAAATGAAATGTTTGTGTAAAATTTTGCATTTTGTCTCCTCATATCTAATTTATTTTTCCAATTTTTAATATTCATCCCTATACAATTTTTTTTGATTTACTATCATATACTAAACCATTTCCTTTTTTATTTCTTTTGTTGTTATGCAATAATTTATTATAAATTGGTGTAACAATCTTGAATTATAATTAATTTTTAAATATTTTTTATATTTTTGAAGAATAAATTAATTAAAAAAAACTTTTAAATGATGCATGCAAACTTCTTATATATTTAATATTGATCTTTATTTTGAACATGTAATGTATTTGTAATAATCAATTGTGGCATTCTAATTCCATATTTAAAAATAATTAAGTAATGAAGTAGTAAAAAAAAGTTGATGTCATCTCTAAATATAATGCAATGATTTTATATAAAACTTTAAAACTATGTTACATATTTCTTTAAATTAAGTTCTTTGTCCAACCAAAATACTTCAACTTTATTTGATATTAGAAGATTATAGATAAAATATTACTATAATATATATATATATATATATATATATATATATATATAGTATCTCATTTTTGTCAATATATTGTGATTTTGGCAACAAATAGATGAAATAAATATTTTTTGAAGATATTGTTGAAATTTCATTATTACATAGGTCAACTGCTTATTTATTTATAATAAACCATTATTTATTTTTATGTTATTTTTAAATATCTTATTTATAATTTGTCTTAATTAATTAAAGTGTATTAATTGAATGTTAAGATTCTCTATAAGTCCAAAAATAACACATAGCATAGCCTTTAAGAATATTTTTGTAATTAATAAAAAATTAATAGAGTCACAGAATAGTGAGGGAACTAGCTTTGAATAAATATAAATTAAGTTTCTTCTTAACCAATGCTATTCCTTATTGTTCATAATATTCTATAATTTTACCAACTCTTTTTAAGTCCACAATTAATTTATTCCTTCAACATTCAACTTCATGTTGACTATTTTGTTTACTTACCTCATGCATATGTTGTTGTTGAAAAAAGACTCAGTAATTTAATTGTCAATTATATTCATCTATAATTCTATATATAAGAGTACTTTTAGTATGGTTTGTTTTCATATCTTTTATAATTCCTTTATAAGCCCTCTACTAATATTAAAGACGTATTTTTAAACTTTTGTGGAGAAATTTGTTTTGTATTTGTTCATTTAAAGAAAATACTATTAAATAAGCACATATATACATATATATAGGAATGGAATTAATAAAAGGAAAAGTGCAAAGATACATCGAGCTCAAGCCTCATTTTCTTGCCTATTGCATTGTGTTGGTTATCTTTTATTCAAGTTCATTCGGCATTTTGAACCATCTGCCAATATGGGTCTTAGCCAAGCGAGTAATCGGAGCGTTGAAAAAGAGTGAATACTTTTACCGCAAAAAATAAAATCTGTTGACGATCTATAAACAAATAAGCTGGTACCAACTAATAGTTTTGAAATCTCTCTGAAAAGTCTACACATGCCGTTAGTCCAAACGTGATACTTGCCGAGGCTCTCCTCAACTCCACAATTCAAGGAACCGTACTTGAAACAGTTGTGGACGCACATCAGATGCATGCAGATTGATATAAAAATATCAAAAAAGAATGAGCGAAATGTGCTGCATGAAAGAAAAGGGATAATCTAATAAGTTGTGTGCTTTGACCGGCAATTGGGCACGTGAAGCAACTCTTGAGAAGGCATAATCAGTCCATGAGTCAAGAGTACACCAAAGCTAGTTCCCTCACTATACTGAAGTCGAAATTTGTAAATTAATGTGTTCAATGTTCAATCAACACAGTTTTGTCTAATCTGCTTTTTGGGGCTCTTTGAATCCTATTGAGAGAGCCTTCGCATACAAATTCTAGATCCTCAATCGTCAGTGGAACTCAAAATCACGCAGGGCTAATGCTCCACAAGTTCAAGACTCAAAATAAAGAGCGAATGTTGCTAAGGTGGAGCCATCCATCCCACTTCAAGGGGTTCGCATCGGGGCTGAGCATATAGAAAGCATAAGCTATGGCGGCACCAGCTGACAACGTCAATGTAGCACTTGCACAAGAAGGGAAGGTCGATAGCCTGTTCAAAATAGCTTTGCAGTGGCCATCCGCAACCTTTGCCTGACCCAGCAAATCGTGGTTCTTTTGTGTGTCTTCCAACACATGCTTGTGCTGCTTACACAGAGAAAAAGAGGTTAAATCCAGTATAGACGTAGGACCTCTAATAAAATCGAAAGGTGATTTATGATCTTGAAAAACGTGACAGAACTACCTAGCACTGATCGTTTATTTTACTATATACTTACCTTCAATCTCAAAGCCTTAACAGTCTTCTTTAAGTTCATGAATGGTGCAAGGCGTTGAGAAGCTTCTTTCCACTCATGTCTGATGTAACTCAGCACGCGATTACTTGCTTTCAAATTCTCAAGATGCAACTTTTCCTGCATCAAATAATCACAAATAAATACGAGCTTGTATATTGAATACTTCAAGCAACAGTAAAAAGCTTCTGTGAAAACGTTCACTTAAGACTCAGGGGTAACAAGTGCATACCCATTGTTGGTAACAGTCACTGTTTTGTGACAAGCACCAGATGAAGTTACTGCAAGCCTCCTGTGAAAGTGCCTCCACATCTGCATCCAAAGAGTGATGTGAACAAGCAGAACTCTCGATGAATTAAAACTTTGCAGATACAATGTCCTAGAACCAGAAGAAACACCTACCTTGTGATAAGGCAGCGACACTAAGAGGTAGAAGCTGCTGAGCCACTGGTCGAGTAGTTTTGCTATTCTGTAACCCTGCTAACGCAAGCTCCTTAACTATGGGGTACACAGCCTGAAACCTATCTGCAGCCTGTATCATGTACACGATATGGTGTCAGGGTCGATTAAAAAGGATTTGAAAAAAAATCGCTGCAGTGCAGTCAGGTGAAGTGTTCGGGGGTAGCATGGGAGCCCTAAATCAATTTTATTGGGACGTTAAGTCGGGTAAAGAGGCGCTACAAAGATTCCCCGTAAAATCTGTCTGCAGCAACTGATCACATCTGAAGTTATCGAGTGAACACAAACTGTACCTTAGTCCGAGCAGACTCAGTAGGAAAGGAAGCCCGCATCACAGAATCAAGAGATGCAGCTGGCACTAGTCGTTCTCCTTTCCTCGAAACCCCATTAAGGAGTACAGAACGAGCTTTCTTGGGATCTACCAATACCACACTGCACCACAAATCACGACAATTGCTTAGACAATGTCACTCCAGATTCGAATGTTCAATATTCTTCGCATATGACTAACAATCTCGCAAACTACATCCACATATCAGATAAAGGGCCCGATCTCAGAACACGGAACAGAAATTCTAAAAGCTAAAAGAAGTGATGTTCGCAACCAGAACTGACGAAGATGTAAGAGTATCCCGCACCTCTCAAGAAATTGCAGCGCAGTGTCTCGCAAGACAGGCGTACTAGACTTCCCCACAGCGAGAGGCAACAAATTGTGCACCCACAAAGACATCCCTATCACCAAGTCTCCTTGAGCAGCCTGCCAATCATCCCGAGTGAAAAAGGTTAACATTACAATTGCGAAGTACATGAAAATACATTACGGCTAAGTGACATTCGACGTTACTATTAATCATGACTGAAGATAGCATCAACTATTTTACGAGCTGATTTCCTACCTGACCGTAAGCCCAAACCAATGTGGGAAGTTGATCCAAAGCTTGAAATTGGTTGCGCACTGTTTGGGCTTGTTGTTGTAGGATGTCAGGCCTCCTTCTCAAAATTATGGCCAGTAAAATTAGAACGCCTACCTACATTATTTTCGAACCGAAAGTCTGTTAATAAGCGAATTCGATTCGTTACTAACTTTTGCAAATTGAAAAACCTCTAGACCCATGAATTACAAAAAAACAAAAAAAAAAAAAAAAAAAAAAAAAAAATCCAAGGATAACTTCAGCATCTCAAGATTGTATTACCCTCCACCAAAACAGCTTAAATAAATGATGTACTAAACGCCTTTCTCTTACCTTGGTTTTCTGTGACGGAGGTGCTGAATGCTTAGAGCTCTTGTGAGAACCAGCGTGTGCATGTGCATCATCGAGAATCTCTTTCAAGATCCACACAATAAATTTACATAAAGCATCTGCAGGCCTTTGAGATAACCAATCTGCCAACATCTTGTTCAACGTGTCGGGTACGTAGCAGAGGGGAATCTGCATTGATTCGACCCACATTCAGCACTAATCACACTGAAGATACCACCAGCACCAACTCCAAATCACCCAAAGAACTCAAACTGATACCCCGGCAGGGAGCATATACACTACCTCCAGTGACTTAACGATAGGGGTTTCACGAAGAATTTTATTCCATCCAAACTGAGCAGTGGTTACAGATGAAAAAGCACGGCCAAAGTAGTCGGCGCAACGCAGCAGTTGTATATCAGGGAGGCTCGCAAATGATTCCTGAATAAACACAAGACATGTTGCCAATAAACAAAAATCAATTGAGTATATAACTACAGGCAACAAAAGCATTCACTATCATAGGTGCTAGACACTGGGGGACTTCAATACACAATGTTCGTAGGGTTTGAATCTCTTAAAGCTTTCAGCTGTGAGATGTTAAATTCACTTTGTTGCAGTCCTTTCAGCCTGTTATACCCTCCTTCGAAAATGAAGCAACTAATTAGTGGTTCCAACGTCTCTACACAATCATTCTTCGGATAGAGATGGGCCGCTGTAAAGAAAATGCAACACCCTACACCATTCTGAGGTTGGGTGTGAGAGAGGGACGCACCGAAATGTCAGACAAAAAGGTGGCCAGATCGGTAGAATCTATGGCAGCTGCGGCTTCGGCGACGGAAACTTTAGGCTTTTTCGGCTTCTTGGCTTTGGGTTTCTTAAGCTCAGTCTCCTCAACTGTTCCCTCCGTCTTGGGAGCCTCCCCATCGTCGCTATCCTCTTCATCCTCAACACCCGCGGCTAAGGCCGCAGCGATCCTGGCATCGCGTCTCGCCCGCCGCTCTTCCGCTTCGATCTCTAGGGCTTGAAAAATCTTCGAATCTGACGTCGACTTGGAGGAGCCATTATTACCATCTTTTCCACCCTTGGCTTTTGCAACCTCCAGGCGTCTCTGCTTCTTAGGATTCGTCACCATCTGCCACCCGTGGTCTAAGTAACCCCCGCTGGTCGCATTCGCATTCCTGCCACCATTGCTGGTTTCTACGCCCGACCCCTCGATCGCCATCTCCTCTGCACAACGCCCTCAAACTCGCACTCAAAGATCAAATGTTCCACGCCACCTCAGGATTCTACGCCTGCAACACCACAGACAATGGAAATGGCACCAATCAGATGTGCGACTCACCAACTTGGCAGAGAACCGTCGCTTCCCTTCAAAACCCACACAAACTAGGAGGGGGTAGGTTTGTATTTTGAAATAAATAAAATAGTTTCTCCCAACGCAAATTCACAACTATTTCAACTACCAAACTCTCTCACCCTCAGTACACTAACAAGCCAAGACAACTCCACAGCGATCAACCTCCAAGCTCGAACCAAAGAACAAACGCTGACCCAAACCTGCTCTACCATCGGACATATTCCAGAAGAATGCAAGAAACCCAAACATTGCTAGATCCGCACCTTTCCTCTACCATTGACAACACTCCAGACCAGTCGATGATCTCAGGTAATCCGATCTACGACAACGTCGTGAAGACAAGGCAGCACAGCTTCACTTGCGGGGGGCATGCACGACGGATAGCAAATTGCTCACGCGCTTTCGAACAAGTCCAGTGGTAGGGGGGTGGGAAAAAACAATATAATACTGGAGGGGAGTGAGGAAGCAGGGCAACCCAGCTACTGAACGACGAAGGAGAGCAAGAGGCTGAAGATGTAGGCCCACGAAGTATGGCATGTCGAAGGAAAAAAGAGCCAAAAAGCTGATCGCAGGCCCTCTTACGCATCGATCCGGACGTGGCAATCCGCCATTCGTTGGGTGGAAATTGAAGGACGCCGAGTTGGCACCACTTGCTGACGTAGATTTGGCTGCCATCTTCTTCCTCCGAAAGGACCATCAACAAAGCATTGTTGTCCCAAGACTGATCGAAGCTTTACCTTACCTGGGGAGCTATGAAGTCTCAGTTTTGAACAGTTTTTCCTTGGAAGCCTCCTGGATGATTGCAAACCCATGTCACCATTTACACCGCAGTTTTCTCTTCTCGCCTAATTCGTAGGTTACGGGTGGAAGGAGCAGACACCATGGCTACGACTCTGTATGTGTCTGCTCCCTGCAGTTGTACTAATTCTGCTTTCGAATTCATTCTTTGCAGCTTCTCTTCCGGAGTAGTTAGGCCGTTTCTGCTCGTCAAACAAAGGTGTTGCAGCTATGAAAGTTTTAGCTGCAAGCAATGGTGTGAGAGTTGATGATAATTGAGGGAAATTTCACGCGAGCTGTGGGAATTGTATGGAGGATGTACAGAATTGATTGTTGGAAATGGAGTGCAGGTTTGCGGCGTGTCCTTGCCAGGCATGGAGCAGCTGCCGTGGTAGTTTAATTTCAGAGGTAGGGATGACTTCGTCAGCTTCGATAAGCTCTGGGGGTATGATTTCAAGAGGCAAAGTAAGAGGGTTTGGCGCGATGGTTGGAATGTCAGACGATTTCCACGAGGGGAGACGAAGGTTCGAGAGCTCGAAGGAGGAGACACACTGGGTATTGAACAGACGGCAGGTGCTGCTTGGAAGCCTTTTGACGTCATATCCCCTTTTTGTAACACAGGGCATGGTTGCTCTCGCGGGTAAGTGAATACGTGTGTCCTTCTACACTCCGTGCACCAATTTTAGCGGTGGATTTTTCACTGAATTTGTAGATTCAAAGTCTCTATTGTATTTATGTTCATGATGGGCAAATGTAGGACAATGGAACCGATGGTTTGCTGACGAGGTGATCAACTCACTGGGAGATTCTTGGAAATAATGTCAGATCTGACACAAGAGCTTGAAAGCAGCTCCTCGGCTGAGACCCAGGAGTCTGCCGAAGTTGACACGTTTGGGTTCGATGGACTCGGCAGCAGGGAAGAGGAGTACGCGGTTGGCAAAGTTGTGGCTCTGGCACAGGCCGGCGATGGGGCAGTTCTCTTTCTAGGGTGGATTTTATTTGTTTTTTCTGCTTTCATTTCGTGATGTTTAGTACTTCAATTGTCACTCGACTGCTGTATTTCTATTACCTCAAATTCTTCCCCAGCTGTAGGAATTTGATACAACAAGGCAGTGTAAGAATTGAAATTTCCATCTAAAGCAGATTGTTGCTAATTGCAGGGTGGATGGATTTGACCTACCTCTGCAAATGGTCGTCGGAGCTGCAGAGGCTATGGCCATCTTGACAGCAGCCCAAGACCGGCGAAGCCGCAGGCCAGTGACACATGAAGCTTGGGGCTCTTCGCTTGCTGCCGTTGGTTGGAAGGTAGATCACGTTACCATCACCACCATGGAGAGCGATGTGTTCTATTCCAGACTAGTGTTGGCTCTGGGTAAGAGTCTGGATAAGGAAGCAGCTGAAGTGTCCAGGAATGATCGATTCCGCAGCGTCGACACGCGTCCCTCTGATGCCATTGCGCTTGCCTTGCGGTGCCGAGCCCCTTTGTTTATCAACAAGAAAGTGGCAGAGGAAGCTGTGGGCGCGTTGATCAAAGGAGCTGACCCAGTTAAGAGGCCCTCTGATCCCCTCAACCAGCCAGGATTACAAGCTAAGTCTGCCATTGACACCTCTTCCAACAATTTCTTGGACAGATTTGCTTCGCAAGCCGGATCAAATCGCGAGCCACTCTGGAGATCTAGTGACAATGATTCATATAATGATATTGTACATAATTTTAAACCAATTCATTGGAAGAGTCGAGGAACACTCAAGCTGTACCAGTCGACTCTGTATGTGTAAACTGTCAGCTCTTGAAAGTTATATGCAATTAGAAGATCAAATCAGTCGTTTGGCATTCATGTGGACAGCCATTGTATATGTACTTCTAGTTCAGATTTTTTGATAGTCTTGCATGAGCCCGATGATGCATTGAATTGTGTTTAAAACGGTATGGGCTTAACTGTAATTAAATTCAGCTCATTTGTTTCTGGCAATGGTTACCTTCCTATTTGTAATCTGGTAAACATTTTAACGGAGTATGTGAGACCCCATTGAGATAAGGGAAATAATAATAACAATGGTGATTGTGATGAAGAAGATGAATGGTGCCCTGGAATAGCAGTAATTGTGCACTTGAAGTTGATCGTAGCAGTATCGTACTGGGAACAGTCGATGTGCAGATGAGTATTCAACAGCTTGTTGGAACTGTTTCTTACGTGTTAGGCAATTGTGTGCAGCACTGTGAAGGATGAAAGGTTGAGTCTCACTACTTCCTAATATCATCCTTTGGACCAATCATTAGAAATGTCCTTTCTGAGTCGAGCTTTTGTGAACATTAGTGAACTAAGGATGTGGAAAAGCACGAATGAATCTTCGAAGTCCTGGGTTTTCAATCATTTTTGGGGTCCTGAAGTAAATGCCAAGCGATGTCTACCCTACTTTTTTTCCAAGCCAGTGGTAATGGTTCTAATGTTAACTACGCCACTGCATTTATACGAAATCGAAGAATAAACGTGTAGATTCCAAACTGATAATAAGGTAATACTTTCACTGTGTTAACTGATGAGTGTGGAGATCCGCTGCAGGTTGATATACTCAGTAATTCGATTAAACAGTGTAATTCTGAAAGCTACATCAATAAAGGAGAACATGCACAAAGTAATGATTAACAAAGAAAGTCTCTTCGTTTGAGGGTATACATAGATGGTGCTGAAAATGAGGGGAAAATCCTCCCTCAGCAAAGAGACATTCAAAATATGTGACCTCTGCTTCAGAGGTGAAGAACTTAGCTATCCGAGGACTTGCAACGAACTACGTCCTGTTCGCTTTGTCCCAAAAATAGAATAAGTCGATCACCATTGAAGTAGATATTCATAAATGTTGCCAAAACCCATAATAATGTAAATCCTAACAAATGTAACAAAATAAGCCATAAAAAAATTTAAATGTTATCTCCAAATGTTGTAGGGTTGGCAGAGTTACTGTCAATAAAAAAATATACCTGTCAGCCACAGCTGATCTAAGTACCCAGTGTCCAGAAATATATTCACAAGGCACATTATGTCTATACAAGTAACCAGGGTTTTCCAAACCTCTCGATGCATTCTGGTTTTAACTAAATATTGAGATCGAACGGATTAAATCTCAAAGTGGTTGCTGGAACCATTCTATGACAAAAGCTAAGAATTTCCTCCTTGGAGCATGGCAAGAAGGTCAGAAAACTCTTCGTCATCGTCGGTGGGTGCCGGGGGATCGGATCCATAGGAATACACCGAAGGTCCAGCAATGCCACTAAAGAAAGATTGTGAAGGGCGGTCGATTATATCCTTTACAAAAGACGTACCATTAGAGTATGGAATAGAGGAGCCATACATAGAGGAATGGTGACGTCTATGGGAAGCACTCGAGGGAGGAGAAAAGCTATGTGAAGGAGATGGAGAGATAGAGCCTGGACCAGAATATAACAAGTAAGGGTTTCTGTCCAATCCTGTATCTAATAAGACACTACTCTGGGGAAATAGAGGACCAAAGTTGTGGAATTGGCTCTGGTAGTTCTGCACTGGGACACTATGTTGACAATCGAGGTGATTGTTTATCTCAGATAACGGTAAACTTTTGCTCTCAGTACCCTCCTCAGAGGACTTACCGAGCCAATCTACACCCGAGGGTGAAGCAGACCAAGCCCGCTGAGAAACTTCCGAAGAAACAGGCGCCAGTTCCTTGGACCTGGCAATTACAGGGCTGGAAGGATCCCACGTAGGCGAATTGGAAATGGACATGGGTGGAATAGGGGAATTTGGCTTAATCAGATCCTCACCATAATCCACCCGGGCCATAGCTTGTTTTACCTCCACTTTTTTTCCTCGAAATGGTAGACAATGTCGTTTAACTGCAACATTGGCATCTTTTGGATCGTTGAAGACAACAAACCCAAATCCTCGCGAGCGCACGTTCTTGTCTGCATCTACACAAGAAATAACTACTGCATCCACTACCTTCCCGAATTCTGCTTCAAAAAATTCCCATAAATCTTCTGACTGTATAAAGTGAGGCAGACCTCCAACAAAGACCTTACGAGCACTGTAATCATCACCTTTTTCGCTGCCTGTACTAGACCCCATAGAATTAGCACTAGATGGTCGTATGTCGATTCCAGGAGGTGGCCGAATATATGTAACAGCAGAGGAAGGTGCTCCTCGAAGTTCTATCATGCCATGAGCGAATGTGCATTTAACTCCATGAGGACACTTTCCAGTTTTATCATGATGAGTACAAAGCTTAGTCTTGAAATTCTTTATTGACTGATCGCTTCCATCATCACTCTGACTTCCTCCAGCCCGCTTGTCTAATCCATTAACCCTTGCAACACCAATTATTTCTTCCCCTGAGTGGACAAAATGGCATTTGCTGCCCCGCGCACAACCGTCGCTTGATGCAAAGAAATGGCATGCCACAGTTTTATATTGAGGCAAATTTACCGATTCCTTGCCCCCTAAAATATCTATCTCACCTCCTAGAATGAGGTCCCGATTGTTAATAGATAGTGCTTGAGTAGATAACAAATCGAAAGTATTTCCATCCTGCGGGAGAGTAACAGATATACACTTGAGAACAACGATAGTAACAGTTAATAAGCCAACGGAAGTTACTTCGAGCCCAAGTCAGATTTCAAACATAATATTAACCACATTCTAAGTTGTGAAATAAAAACGAATCTCATACTTGAGTAATCACCATCATTATGGTCTCAAGAGAGTAGGTGGAAGGTGAAAAGTAAATTAAGACAATCTATACAATCTTATTTATCAGAGGCATATACTGTCCAACGCCTAATCGAATACATTATGGTACCCTCTAAACCACGCCTAGACTTCAAGATCGTGATCAAAACGATAATAGTCAGAGGCATCAAGAAGTTCACACCTGAGTTGATTGGTGAAAGCCAAAGGCGTCTGCAATGGAGGGAAATTGCGTCTGTGATTGTATAGCCAAGGAATGTAAAGGAGAACTCGAGGAGACTGCACTTATGAGTATAGGCTTGAAGCTCTCCCAGGTGTTGTCTTTCAAAACTTTGTCATCTTGCAGTAGAAGGACTCTCATTTCAACAGACAGCGCCAGTTGTATTGGTTTCTGGTCACGTTTACTTGCAACATTGCGATTGGCACCATGTTTGAGCAATAGGAATGTGCAGGTAATATGGTTGTTCTTCACGGCATAATGAAGAGGAGTTTCTTTTGTAATCGCCAGAACATTAACAACACTTGAATCCTTCTCCAGTATAAAAGAGAGAGCTTCGAAGTGTCCATGACCAGCTGCTGTGTGTACTGGGGTTGCCCCCAACTTGTTACCAGCTTTGACATTTGCTCCAGCCTTGAGCAATCTCCTAACCACCTGACTATTTACAGTCCGTCTGTTTACAGAAGTGGCCTGACGAAGAGCCCAATGTAGGGCAGTGTTACCAAATGAATCTTTGTCATTAACTGGTGCCCATGCATTTAATAAAAGACAGACAAGGGCTTCATCATTTGCTTGAGCAGCTCTTAGGAGAGGAGGAAGATGCGAACTCTGTGCATGACCTGATAAACGTGGGCTAAATAGAAGTACACACTCCAAGAGTTTACGCGCTATCTCACACTTGTACTCTCCATCATCTCCAGCAGGTGATGAGACATTATCTGGAGGGATAGAGATTGTTGACTGCTCAACCTCACTCTGGCCACTCAAGGTCTTCTTAAGCTTGCTGTTGATCAAATCTTTAGCCACCGCTTCTGGCGCTGTGATTGACTTCTTTAGTGACTTAGTGGCAACTTCCTCCCATTCACCTGAGTCTAGAGTATAACTAAGTCTTTGAAAACTTTCATCCCATTTGCTAAAATCTTTCAAATTGCCACTATCTGAAGTCCCACTTTCCCGATCTTTCAGGCGCTTTAACGTGTCATGTCCAAGGCTCATATCTAAATCGCCGGAACCTAAACTGTAAAGACTGCTGCCTTCACCCTGCCATAAATCGCCAGACTCCTCATTTGCATAAGATTTACATTTAGCACCCAAATTATTCAAAATGCATGAGTTCGAGTGCGCTAACGCCATTCCTAACACCAGATCCACGATCGTCCCTTCAGCAGCATCATCCAATTCGTCTATCTTTCTACCGGAGAAACTGACCACTGGAGCCTCTATCTTTCTAGCCAAAGGATTCATGGCAGGTTCACCTTGTTTATAAATTACATTAACCATGGTATCTACCTTTTTCCCAGTCAAACCCACACCACCATCAGATTTCTTAATGGGATCATTAATCTTGGGGGTTTCCTTCTTCAACGCCGAATTGAGAATCGTTCTTCCCCCGTGTAATAGTAAAGCCACCACCGCCGGAATTTTCAGGCCCTGGACCAGCTTAAATGCAATCGAAAGTAGATGATTCTTGCATTTCCCTTCCAGAGAAGGTATTAAACTCAAATCCTGTTCACGAACCTTATCAACTATTTCCTTGGCAGGCGTCGAAAGGTCCCAGTCCAATCTGATGCTCAATAGAGCTTCCTCCAATTTTGCACCCATCGTACCTCCGCTCAGAGATTTACCGAACCACACTCTTTTCAACACTGTTCACACCTGGAATCCGTAGTTTCTTCTTAATGCAACCACATATGATATTCAAGATAAATTTCTTCAAAAGACCTAGCTTATTAACGGATGCAAAGCACATGCATTACCTTCACAATTCCAACATATATCTTTCTTACCATAGCATAACTAAGTGCATGGTGTGTGCTACTACTCATCCACGTCTATAAAAGCACAAAGTCAACCTCAACCACTCGTACCCAAAATCTTCTGACACAATTACTCAGAAGAACATGCGTTCGAACGTTCATCGCACAATAAGAGTTGACATCCAGGTGCCACATTTCAAAAATGACACAATATCAACCCAAAAAAAATGTCAGCTACTTAAACTGATCTATAAGTGACTTCACAAGGAGCTTCTTACGACTTTCACAATAGTACTACATCAACAGCAAACCTAACTGTGTTTTATTCAGCAAATTGAGCAGCAATGATCATCAATCTCTGGAACCATTTCTGCTCGATCTCTGACCTAGCTCTTTCTTAACTGAACAAGCTCCAAATCAGAACTACAATCAAAAACGTCGCATACACTATGGAAAAAACAGACTACTTTTCGGTAACAAGTGAAGCTTCTCAATGCTCTAGACAACCTGAAACACAAAATCAACAACGACAATTCACACCTAACAGAAGTGCTCAACTTCTGAAGTCTGCAAAGAATGCCCTTGGGTGAACTTTGAATATGCGATTCTGATAAAACGTACATGATATACCACTCTCGATCCCTGCCCACTATCAAGCATATTCCTAGCCAAGCATAATCGTGTAATCCCATGCCGACTAAAAGCGCTTCACCTCTCTTAAAACCTATCTGGATTTGCAAGGTATCGTCTTTCTCTACTTCAACTAAACGCTATCTCAAAGCTTTAAAAAAGCATGTTGTTTTAACAAACTTTTAACGTCATGCCAACACAGGCTTGGAATTACAATTCCCACTTTTCAGTACTCTGTAGTGCACCTTCTCGAATACTGACGAAGTATGATTCGATGCCTGTCGGCATTCTCCTACGATTGCTTCCGAAAATACTCGGTTGCAACTGATCCACCCTATAATCCCTATGCCGATAGTAAAGCAGCCCCTAAGCTACTAATTTGAATGGTATACCCACTCCCGATCACCCAGAGCACAAATTAAAGTTTCAACGAAGCCCTCACCGTAGTCGATCACGCCACTACGCCATTTTACAGATACTCGAGCAAACGAACATCCGAAATAGCACCCCTCCAACAAGAAATCCACCTCCGAGAAGCTATTGCAGTAAGCGAACACCGCATCATCAACATAAATCCTCTTAACACAAAAGAAGCAACAAAGCAAAAATTCGCATCATATCTTCCCCACTCCCCCCAATATATATATATATATATATATATATATATGATCAAAATTGGTCATTTAATCGTATTTTTAAAAAACCTGATCACCAGCCATGTAACCTTACGCATTCATGACCGCTTGATTACCCTCAGGTCTGCTCCACAACACCTCCACAACAAACTGACAGATCAACCCGCCACACCATCTAGCACACCCTTCCACCTCGTGCCTTCCTTCCCACTCCCAACCGACAACTTCTCCGAAACCATAAGGAAGATCAAAACCTTGTGGGATTCCAAAATGCAGTATCCATGAGCTAACAAAGAAGAGGGCAGGGAATACGAGATGGCGAGAGAGACGAGCACAGTGTGTGACGAACCTGGATGAGCAGCATCATCGCTTGAGCCACGGCGACGTTGGAGCCACGCCTGCAGACGCAGCAGCGCACAGCCGAGACAAAGCGCGGAGACAGGGAGAGACCTGGCGGAGACCCGGATGTAGTAGGGGGGGGGGGGGAGGGGGAGGAGGGACACCAACACCCCAATGGTAAAATGGTAGGGCCTCTCTCCGCTCAGCAGCACTCCTTGCTCCTCTACAGCGGGCTCCGTCAAACAGGAGCACGGCGCCAGTCTCTCGCCCCTTCTCCTTCCCCCTCTCAGTCTCCTCGCTCCTCGTCGTCGTCGTCGTCTCCGAAACCTCGCTGCTAAGCGACTCTGATCCTTCCGCACATGCCCCCCCTCCTACACCCGACGTCGACGACGGTGTGTTGCCGGGAAAAGGGCCACGTCGCTCTAGAGGTCTCCACGTCACTCCTTATGGGGCCATGTTACTCCCAAAGTCTCCATATCACGTTTTCTGGTGCCATGCCACTCTCAGAGTCACCATGTCACTTTTTATTTGGCCACGTCACACTTCTCCACGTGGGGCTGGAATGGAAGATGATCTGACGCTGTCCACGAATAGTATTTTGGGTTTGATGAAGCTGGATTTAGTGTTGCGCTGGATTTAGTGTTGATTTCAGGGCTCTTGGGTCGGAATCATGCGAGTTTTGGTCTTTCTTAGTTTTTTCTTCTTCTTTTTTTTCTTTTTTTTCATTCTTGTGTTAGAGGAGGTGATTCTATTGCACCAATTTTTACTTAAGCAGCTTGTTCTGTGTTCAAATTTCATTATGTGGTGACAGCGATTTTTCTTCAGAACTTTGTTGTGTGTCGTTTTCGATTCAATAAGAAATGGGTGGGCTTTTAGACGTGAATGGGTCTCTAGAAAGTGTGGATACTTAATCGAAAGGTAAAAGAAGTAAATCCTTAAAATCCATATCTGATTATTGTTAGTTTGAAATTGATTTATCACTTCAGTGCTGAGCTTCATTTTACTGTCATTTGCAAAAATTAAATAAACAAAGAACAGCAACAACAACAACAACATCCATCTCAGAATTTAACTATGATTCATTGAACATTAATTGTTGTGTTCTTAATTTTGAGACGAGATTTTAGGTCTCCAAAATATAAAAACCATATGCCTTTTATGACTTTTTCGTGGCCAAAAACAAAAGTAACGTTTTAGGAATACGGTCAGTGCTTCAGTGCGTCAGTGCTTCAGTTTTCCCATGAAAAGTTGATCATTAATTAATAAATATCTCTTTAAATACTTTGAACCAATTTTGATTGTAATATACTCTATCTCTTTTTATTATTTAAAACTGTTATGATTAATAGTCAACTCGAATATGGCGCAAAAATATAATGATGCAGTAATTTCAAGTATTGTTCCAGTGTTTTCTTTCTTTTAATTATATAATATTAAAATATTATTGTGTCGTATTTGTTGGTTTGCAGTGTAGTTAAAAGGTGCTTTTACTGTAGAAGTATCAATTATGATAACTCATATAATTTCTTTTGAATATATGATGTCAAGGTTTTCAAATAATTATGTTTTTAAGAAATTATGCTATTGTCTTGAATTACGTTATTGTAATTGGTATTTTCAATTCATACTAATATGGCCAACTACTTCACGTTTACAAAATGTATTTCTACAAACTTTGTGTTTCACTCAAAAATATCTTAACGTAGAGAAGAATATTCACCGTGCTTTTATCTTATGAGAAGTTATTTTTGAAAATATTTTGAAAAGTTACTTTTTGTTTTTGGCCACGAAAAAGTAAAATCTGCGAAGACCTAAGTTTAGTGGGAGGAGAGACGGTAAAGAGGGGAATTGTCAGCCAATTTTGCTGTTGTTGTCGGGACTGACCGAAGTGCCCGCGGGCAGAGATGGAGGGGGTGGATGAACGTGGAATGGGGCACAAAGGGGAGGAGAAGGAAGGGGACGGAGAACGTTCGTTCATTTGTTCGTTCGTTCGAGAGTGTTTTCAATGCAGAAGGGGAGTATTGTAGTCACTGACATAGCATTGCTTTGTCGAGCCTGTCCTCTCTCTCTGTCCCTCACTTTTTTCTCTCTCTTTTTACACTCTGTCGAAGACCTCGACATTCTTATTCCCATTCCCCTCGTTCCAGGCCCTTCTTTTCTCGGACCCTGTCTCCATCGCCATTGCCAACACTCTACGTTGCTGCAACAGACGCGGCAGCAACCGACCGATGCTAAGGGAATTTCGTGATGGGATGCGCCTCGTGGAGTAGGAAGCGCGGCGAGTGACAGAGTAATTTTCCCTGCGAATCAGCTTAGGTTTTGGTGGTGGACGGGGTTTGAGTAGGAGAATTAGAGGCAGATCAGCGCCCGATCGCGAGGCGGTGATAGGCGTCAGGAGTGGTGCGCGCGCGGAGAGATTGGAGACTTGCCTCTGTGGGAGTGTCGCTCGCCACCAGAATGACTGTCATCGCGGCACCGCCTGAAGTATGTGTTGGTTGTTTTGCTACCTCGCAGGATGTTGCCGTAGGTTTGGCTTCTTGGACGTTCTTGTCGTGGTGGTCGTCATTGGATTAGGGGTGGTTAGGGTGTGGAGCTTGATGAGGATGTAGGGGTTGTGGTAATTCTGACGGTGACGCGGAGGATTGGCCGGGCAACGAGCGACGGGATGGTCGGGGTTGGGGGATTGATAAGGGATCCGGGTTGGATGTTCTGCTCACGCAAGATGTGTGGTGCGATGATTGATGTGGCAGGAGGACGATGATATGTTGGTGCCTCCCCAGGACTTCAACGACGTGATTGAACCGATGGAAGGTGTGCATCATGAGACAGTGTTGTTGATGAATTGATCGGCACGTTAGGGGGGGTACCCTTTAGGCTTCTGGATTGGGAGGTGCCATGGCACGCAATGCTGTGTGGATCTGTCAGGGTTTGGAGCTAACGTAGTCGAATAGGTTTTCTGTAGGGCAATCGTTGGTAGATGACGCAGAATTTTGTTACCGCGTAGATTCTGGTGCGCTTGGTTTTCGTTAGTGTGCACACTATACTGTGTGGATCTCAAGTGATTTTTGCCTTCATTTGGGCATAGCATGGCTCATCTAATATCATCATTCCCGACAATTTCCGCACAACATCCATAGTGTGGATCTCTACTTCTCGAAAAATTTGGTCGAAGTCGAATCTATGCAATTGAGTGTTGATCTCAAGCAATCGGGGTTCTGTGATGACATTAGGCCCATCGAACCACTTAGAATTCACGCTTACATGACTTTAGCCCCTTGCTGTCATTCTTTGGACTGAAGTCCTTAGTACCTATTGAGCAATGAAATGCGTTTACCCTCCCTCAGGAGAGTTTCACATACAACATTCGTACCCCTGAAGGAGGTGGAATTTTTTGCCTTGCATCAGAAGCGGTGCTCACTTTTACGTTGTTGTGCAGTGGTAGGGCAAGGAGAAGGTGTTGTTACTGTGGAGAATCAGCTTGTGGATGATCCTCAGACGGGAAAATTCACGTGGCCAATAGAGAATCTTTCGAAAATTAATTTGAGAAAGCATTACTCAGAAACATTTACCGTTGGTGGTTACAAATGGTACGCACTCTACGCCGTATCTGCATTCAGCTTTCTTTTTGCGAGTTTGAGGGCGGACAGCTTAGAGAGATCTTTTATGTCGTTGCAGGCGGGTGCTGTTATTTCCGAAAGGCAATAATGTGGATCATCTTTCGATATACTTGGATGTTGCTGATTCTGCACAACTACCCTATGGCTGGAGCAGATTTGCACATTTTACTCTTGCCGTTGTAAATCAGATTGATCCAAAGTTGACTGTCAAGAAAGGTTCGTATATAATGTCCTCTTGCTGCCATAAGCTTTCCTCTTTGGACGGTGCGGTTATCGCAGGGCATGGTTTATCTGCTTATCTTGTTTTAGGACTTGGTTAAAGCTTCACGGGAGGTTCGTTGAAGACAGGACAGTAGAATCCTGTGGGACAAGGACTAAAGGGCACTAGTGGCCTCATCTGCAGATACTCAGCATCAGTTCAATGTACGTGAAAGTGACTGGGGATTCACATCGTTCATGCCTTTACATGACTTGAATGATCCATCACGAGGTTTCGTGGTGAATGATACTCTTATTGTAGAAGCTGATGTGAATGTTCGTAAGGTGGTTGATTATTGGGCGTACGATTCGAAGAAGGAAACAGGATTTGTTGGGTTAAAGAATCAAGGAGCTACATGCTACATGAATTCTCTCCTCCAGACATTGTATCATCTGCCTTACTTCCGGAAGGTTATTTTCCTGTCAATACAGAAATCATGGTTGTGGTTAGAACCTTTTTTCAGCAACTCAGTTTCAGGAGTCTCGGATTCTCTTTCGGTTCAGTACTTTAGTACGTTTGGTTCAGATATTTTACCTTTGTGAATGACCAGAATTTGGCGGTTTTAAAAATCAGCTTTCTAATCCCCGGTTTCACTAATTGTACCTGATGTTGCAGTCAAGTTTAGTAACAAAGTAAGCTGGCATTAAATATAGCCCACACCGGTTCAATTTTAATCAAGGTTCGATTGTGTAGTACCTAGTTCGTCCATATGCAGGATCATTTCCAGACCCTGCACGAGTGCAGATGCAGTTCTCCTTAGTGATTGCTTGGTGGTCTTTATTATCAACGTCCTTTTTCGGGTGATGTTTAGATGGGAAGCCAACCTTGCACCACCCATGTCATTTAAACAATCACAATCAAAGCATATTTTTTGTGTAACAAACGTGGTCTATTCAACGAGTGTCTTAGGCTCTCTTATTGCGTGGTGATTGTCACTGTTCAGCCCCTAGGAGATAATTTGTTTCCTGCTAATTATTATCATCCGATTTTTTTTTAGTTTTTAATTTTTATAGTACTTAAATACATTTTTTTGCTTTTTAGCAGACATGTTCCGTGGTGTCCCATTAATGATGATTTCACTTAAATTTGTTTATCTTGATTTTCTCGAATGCAGGCCGTGTATCATATGCCAACTACTGAGAATGATGTTCCATCCAACAGCATTCCTCTAGCTCTGCAGAGCTTATTCTACAAAATTCAGTATAGTGACACTAGTGTTGCAACGAAGGATCTTACTAAGTCTTTCGGATGGGATACATACGACTCCTTTATGCAACATGATGTTCAGGAGCTCAATCGAGTTCTCTGTGAAAAGTTGGAAGATAAAATGAAGGTATGGAAGAATTAGTTCTAGTCTTGTTTTCTTTTCTTTCCTGAGTTGCGTCGTATGTGATCTTAACTTTGTTGTGGTTCTCACCTGGCCTTTCGCAGGGTACCGCTGTTGAGGGCACAATTCAACAACTGTTTGAAGGTCATCATATGAACTACATAGAGTGTATCAATGTTGACTACAAGTCAACACGCAAAGAGTCATTTTATGGTACGGTTTCACAGTTTCTGTTTGAGATAGGGTGGGGATCTTCGTATGTGATCTTAATTTATTACGTAATAAATTATTCATTGACCGTTGTCTGAGTTGAAAAGTGAAATAAAAATTCGTTGGAGGCTCGAATTGATCGTGCTGATAGTCCGGATTTGTCTTAGAATGTGGGCATATCCCTTCTCGTGATAGTAGGATAATTGGGAATCTTCTTGATGCTTTGAGCATTGCGAATTGTTTATGTGTATCTTTGGTGTACTTTGCAGATTTGCAGCTTGATGTGAAAGGGTGCAAGGATGTTTATGAATCTTTTGACAAGTATGTCGAGGTAGAACGCTTGGAAGGCGAGAACAAGTATCACGCAGAACAATTCGGATTGCAGGTGCTGAATGCGCTGCACCTTTTGAATCAAATTGATGCTTGAACTTTACTGATCTTCTGATCATGATTATGAATTGTATCTGTAAACCCTACTTCAACCAATTTGGGGCACGTACATTGCAGGATGCAAAAAAAGGAGTCCTATTTATAGACTTCCCCCCTGTTCTTCAGCTCCAACTGAAACGGTTTGAATACGACTTCATGCGAGACACAATGGTGAAGGTGAGGAAAGGGGTTTTCGAACCATGCAATATGCAACATTCGGCTGGTATAGCTTATGTATTGATTGTGCATATTATTTAGATGAAGGACGTGTGTGTGTGTGTGTGTGTATTTGCTTTGTTTTGGTTGGTTGGTAGTCACTTTTTTACTACTGATTACCTTTGAACATTATTTATGTGATGCAGATTAATGATCGCTATGAGTTTCCTCTGCAACTAGACCTGGATAGAGAGAATGGAAAATATCTCTCTCCTGATGCTGACCGCAGTGTGCGAAATTTATACACATTGCACAGGTGCGGGGCTTGAGTTTCACCTCATGATATTTTACGCAAGGAAAGATGTTTCTGTGGATTAATGCTGATATCTTTCGTAGTTTTTATCTATTTTTAAATGTTTTGATAGATTGAAATTTAACTTTTTTCATTAAGTGACATCAGAATTGATCTGAAGTAGGAATTGATATACTCACTTTTTAAATGAATTACTGGCGTGTTTTGATGAAAGTTTTTGTGCAACGCGTGTCTTGTTTTGCTCCTGGCAGTGTACTGGTCCACAGTGGTGGGGTTCATGGTGGTCATTACTACGCTTTTATTAGACCCACGCTCTCTGACCAGTGGTATCTATTCTCATTGGATCTTATTGTTTTCTCTCTGTGCTTGTATGAATCTTGTTACATGTGCATGCATTAGCTTGTATTTTTTATTTTGAAATCAGTTGAATTGGTAGTGTGATCGAATCCTAGAGGGTAAGTTTTACGGTTATTGTAGACTATGAGAGTACCATGAGAATCTATTATTTTACTAGTGTGAGGATGTAATAGTAGATCGGTCTTGAAACCCTTCGCCTGTTCTGTGCTGACACGCATAATTGCGAATAGGTTCAAATTTGATGATGAGCGAGTTACGAAAGAGGAACTCAAGAGAGCTCTTGAGGAGCAATATGGAGGGGATGAGGAGGTGTGTATCACGATGTTTATCTTTTGTTGACTTTATCTCATTTATTCTTTTATTGTTAACTAGTTATACTATTTTTGGTGTTGATGGTAGTGGAAGTTGTGATTGAAGAAGAGGGTTCCGATTCTTGCGATTGTCGTAAGTTGAAGTATGAGAATGCTCCAGCTTTCACTTATGCGGTTATCTTATCTATTTATGGAAGAAATAAAATTATTTTTCTCGCAGCTTCCACAAACGAATCCGTGTTTCAATAACACGCCCTTCAAGTTCACGAAATATTCGAACGCATACATGTTGGTGTATATCAGAGAGGCTGATAAAGACAAGGTTGTTTGTAATGTGGATGAGAAAGACATTGCAGAACACTTACAGGTAACTCTACTGTAGACAAACTAGCTATCATTTGGTGGCCTGTTTGTTTATCTCATTTTCGTGTAAGTGTTCATTGAATTTCTAATTGTCTGATTTGCATCATGTGATTTATCGATTTAGATAAGGTTGAAGAAAGAGCAGGAGGAGAAGGAACGGAAGAGGAAGGAAAAGGCTGAGGCCCACCTTTACACTATCATAAAGGTAAACAATTAACTGTATGGTTTATTTTTTGGTTGTAGGAAGCCGTAGCTTCAGAGTAATTAATTATTCGTTTACGTTATGTATAGGTTGGGCGCGATGAAGATCTCCAGAACCAGATTGGAAAGGACATTCATTTTGATTTGGTGGATCATGAGAAAGTTCGCAGTTTTCGCATCCAGAAGCAAACGCCTTTCACGCAGTTCAAGGTATGTCTTCTCAGAAAGTTTTACATCCGTTTATAAGCACTTTTACTGATAGGAAACATAATGTAGTGTCTTCGTTGAATCATTGAGCAATCGTGCACCTACAATTGCAGGAAGAAATCGCAAAGCAGCTTGGCGTCCCTGTTGAGTGCCAAAGGTTCTGGCTCTGGGCAAAGCGCCAAAACCACACATATCGTCCTAACAGACCACTAACTGATCAAGAAGAGGCCCAAACTGTAATTCCTGTTCCGATGAGTCCTATTATGCAGAATTGCACTCTCGATTGTCTTCATGCTTTTATGAATGCAGTTTATTTTTTCTGGTTGCAGTGCAGTTTTAGCCCAGTAGGCAGTCGTTGCTCGTGAAGTGAGTTGTGTAGCCTTTTTTTTTTAATAATGCTTGTGATCTTGTCTTTGTATTGACATCCAGGTTGGGCACTTGAAAGAAGCCTCCAACAAGGCTCACAATGCTGAGCTAAAGCTCTTCTTGGAAGTGCAGCGCCTCCCTGGTGCAGTATGTCTCTTTCATTTGCATGAAGTGCCATCTTAAGTCTCTTTGCGCTCCAGTTGATTATCGTATTATTCTTATATTATATCATATTATTGTTAATGTATACTTGGTCATGTGGCTTTTTGTCTGAATATTGTTGAGCTTTCAGAAGCGAAGTTCTCTCAACCGATTTCTCCTGATTTGTGCTTTTATAACAGGATTCAGTTCCCATACCTCCTCCAATCAAAACAAAAGAGGACGTGCTTTTGTTTTTCAAACTGTACAATCCTGAGAAGGAGGAATTGCGGTAATGTTCACCTTTCTAGTTTTTTTAGCTTGATCGTATTGATCCTGAGTAAGCACATTAGTTACTCCCATAAAATTCATTCTAATTGCTCTCAGAGTTGTCTTTGCAGTTATGTTGGTAGATCTTATGTAAAGGCGAGTGGTAGACCAGCCGATATCTTGGAACGGCTGAATGAGATGGCTGGCTTTCCTCCGAATGAGGAGATTCAGTTGTATGAGGTATCTTGGTTTTGTAATTGGTGAAGTTTTTCATGATATATCTTGTTCTGTAATTCTTTAGATGTGGAAAAACTTGGTTTTGGATATTCACAAATTATAGCATATTCATCGTTAGCATTCTGAGTAGTCACCATCATTATCTGCTAGGTTTCGCTATCCAATTCAAATTTCATTGTTGCAGGAAATTAAGTTCGAACCTAATGTCATGTGCGAGCACATCGACAAGAAATCTACCTTCAGGGCCAGCCAGGTGAGCTATCCGTCAGTGCAATTTTGGTTGATGATTTAGACTACTAAAAATTGATGGCGGACAGGTATACCGTGTGATATTTTAGGAAGCCTCGCTACTCAAAATTGTTGATTGTTGTGCAGTTGGAGGATGGTGATATCATCTGCTACCAGAGAGCTCTAACAAGGGGAGAAGAAGATGTTTGCCGGTATCCTGACGTCCCATCGTTTTTGGAGTATGTTCGTAACCGACAGGTATTACGCACGAATGTAAATGAGTCACTTGAACGTATACTTTGTCCTATGTTTTATCCGATAGACTATATATATATATATATTATCGTTGAACTGAACGTTGTGTGTAGAGTGGGATCTTAACATAGCCCTGAGACCTTGAATCAGATGGAATGGCTTTGATGTCTTCTGCATTTTTTAAGTTCTTCTGAGCCTTTTCTCACACTAACTTTGGTGTGTGAATTGGGAAGAATGTGCACTTCAGACGTCTGGAGAAACCGAAGGATGACGAATTTTGTTTGGAATTGTAAGTCTCCTAATCTGGTTGTAGTGTTTTTTATATTTTCTTTTATTGTAGGAAGTTTGGGGCGCGATGCCTTAAAAATCTTGCCTTGGGACATTGGGTGGGTCTGAAGGTATTGGCTAAGTTTATTATTGCTTTTTCCTAGCTCCTTTTATGGTGTGAGTCCAGTTTTTAGGCGTGTGTGCTAACAAATATCGAGAAGTAGCTCTTTTATCTGTGTTAAGATGTATTGAAAAGTTAAATCTTGTACTTTGTAGGTCAAAGCAACACACATATGATGATGTGGTTGAGAGGGTAGCAGAGAAAATTGGTCTGGAGGATGCATCAAAAATCAGGCTAACATCACACAATTGCTACTCTCAGCAACCAAAACCACAACCTATCAAGTATCGTGGCGTTGAGCGGCTCAGTGATATGCTCGTACATTATAATCAGGTACAAAGGATGTATGCATATGTCTAAATGATCAAATGTCTCTTGCAATGCTGGAGTGTCTCTTAATATTGTATTAAATTTGACAAAACATCCTATTGGATTCCGCGTGGTGTTTGCAGACTTCAGATATCCTGTATTTTGAGACGTTGGATTTGCCACTTCCTGAGCTTCAGGGCCTGAAAACCCTGAAGGTGGCTTTCCACAACGCTAAAACAGAAGAGGTTTGTTCGCGTATCTCTGTTTTTTGAGGTTTTTGAATGCCCAGTTTTGACGCTGCTGGTTCAGGTGGAAAGCATGTGAGCTCTTTTCATTTTCTAACCTATCTTGCAAGTGCATGCAGCTTTCAGTTCACAATATTCGGCTTCCCAAACAGAGCACGGTTGGGGATGTTGTGAACGAACTGAAGGGGAAGGTATTTATTTTACTTTTTCTTTTTATTTGAAATTTCTTCGGTGCACGATCTCGTAGTATCGCTTCCTCGATGTGCATGTTGGTAATTACAGCACCTGTTCTATCATTCTTTACACGCAGTTACTACTTCTGTATTCATCTCTTGTGTTGTTGTGTTTGTCTTCATGTTTTTCGAAGGTTGAACTTTCGAGTCCAAGAGCAGAGCTTCGCATTCTTGAAGTATTCTATCACAAAATTTATAAGGTTTGCTACAACTTGTTTTCTTTTATGGGATTGGTAATTTAGATTGACCAATCCTAGGTGAAATTTTGAACCTAATGAAATTCTCAATATTAGGATATTGTATAGTACTATTCGAGATTTCTTGATAGTGTTTTTAGACATAATCAATAGCATTTAATAGTTTTCTGTGTAATAATTTGTCTTTTTCAGATCTTTCCTCTTAATGAGAAAATAGAGAATATCAATGATCAGTACTGGACCCTGCGAGCTGAAGAGGTATTTGGCATGTGTCTCCATCAGAGTGGAATTATTTTTGGGTGTCACTATTGTTTCTTTACGTGTAAACTTGGTAGATTTTAATGATTGGGAAAGAATGTTTTGTGTGATTCTGTGTGTGGTTAGCATGTTTATGATTTGTAAGAATGTCATCAGTGTGCGAAGAGAACTAGCTGATTTTTCGGCGGTGGATATGTCTGGATTCGATAGGTTCCTGACGAGGAGAAAGAACTCGGTCCCCAAGATCGTTTGATTCATGTGTACCACTTTACACGGGATGCATCACAAAATCATATGGTATGTATTGTTCTTTTTGATGTAAACATTCTTGTTTGTAAACTTTGCAGACTTGGGATTGTTGCTGGTAGTGTGTATCGTTCTAAAGTTTTGAACATTTGGCATGGTAAAATTTCAAGCTGATCAAATGTGTTCACATATCTGTTCTGTAGGTTCAAAATTTTGGAGAACCATTTTTTCTCGTAGTTCGTGAGAGTGAGACTTTGGTAGAGGTGAAGGGACGCATACAGAAAAAGCTGTTGATTTCTGATGAGGAATTTTCCAAGGTAAATAGATCCGCGTTTGTTGCACTTGGTGTCATTTTTTTTGTGTCCTTTAACTGGAATCTTTGACCGTGTAGGTTCCTATTTAGCTTATGAACCAAGTTTCAACGTTCCTATTTGTGCAGTGGAAGTTTGCCTTTCTTTCACTGGGTCGACCTGAGTATCTTCAAGACGGCGATGTAGTTGCGGCTCGTTTTCAGGTAATCTAAGGCAAAATGATCTATCCTGTTTAATCACGTGATTTCTTTGATAAGGTATTCAATCACGTTGTTAGATTAATCATGACAAGTTAAGTGTGTTGATTTTATACGTTCGAAGTCCCTACATTCTTCATTTTCTGACGGAGATTGACTGGATTTTTTGGTATGTGTCTCAGAAACGAGACACATACGGTGCATGGGAACATTATTTGGGGCTGGAACATACTGACAGTGCACCTAAGCGATCACACACCACAAACCAGGTTTGTTGCTTTGTCAATGTCTACATTTTTCTTTTTTTAGAGAGTAAAATTCAGTTTGGGGGCTAATTGTGTGCGTCTTTGCGTCGATGTTTCATGAATCATTTTTGATCTTACATTGTAAGTGGTGATGCTGTCGTGAGGTTCTTACAACCGACTTATTGCGTTGTTGAAATTTTGCAGAACCGTCACAATTTCGAAAAACCTGTAAAGATCTATAACTGACGAGCTACTTGTGGGTATCTACAACAAAATTGAGGATAGAAGATGAGTTTGATTTGGGTATTGCAGAACACTTTATTCAGATTCCTTGCAATAAGGCAGTGATTATGTGGTGTGTTTTGCTATAATTCCACAACGGAAGTACTCAGAAGAACCAGCAGGATGAAGAATAACAAGCTTCTACTGTAACTGGAATTCACTCGAATGTGGCCTACTTTTATACCCATACGTAGTGGTATATGTGCGTATTTGTTGAGAGTACTTGTGCCATCGCGCATCCTGCAGAGTTGTAGTGGTTCCTTGTATCGAAATGGATTCTTATCCAGTCTTTCATCCGAAGCTTATAGCTATACATGAGACTTAGCCTCAGTTACGGTGTTCTTAGTTGATCAACATGCGGTTTTCTTTTAGGACCTTCGGCGCAGTTCGTCCATGCAGAATAGTATGGCCACATAGCCGTTCAGTACACCCCTTGTTTTATCTCGTTCATCTTGTTCCATTCAGTTTTATCCCAACTTTTTACTGTTAGATCTAGAGAGTCGTAAATGTCCGTGTTAAGGTTGGCTTCTGAAAGCACGTGTGCAGATTTATTTTATGTGTTTTTGAATGATTAGTGTTGCAGTGTTCGATACTACTTTTTTTGAGACTAGGTGTACCCCTCTTTAATTTTGGAGTAACTGAGATAATTAGTAGTGTTTTGCTTTTATGTGTAGCGTTTCCCTTGTTTCAGGTTTGGCATACACTTGTAGAGATTATGTATCGTTCTCATACTGCTGATAAACCCTTCCGATTATGTGTCAGTGGCAAAGGCAACACCAGCATCTGGTTACTTGAAACAGAGTGATAAAATTGACGAGACTCAGACTGAAGTATCCAAGGGTGACTCGTAAAGCAATATTGTTTACTTCCCAGCCAGGAAGGATGGTGCTCTCCAAAGTGGTTCTGGAAGTGGGTAGAGGGATGTGCAATAGCGGTTCTGGCCCCCTGGGTGCTTGTGTACTGTAGTGAACTACCGGGATAGGCTCTTTTTTTCTTCAGAGGCAGATTTTCAAATGGAATGCTATCTATTTTTACATGTCATGGGGTCTGCTGGAAGGTGTATTTCAAAGCCACTCATGTATTACTCGGCAATTTCTCACGGATTTATGTGATTATCCAGGAATGTTCATATCTGTTTTCTTGATTGTGCCTGTTTTGGTTATACTATGACTTAGCACCCTTATTTCTCTTAATTTTCACCATGCCAACATATCTCACCTAACTGTAAATAGGGGCTGCATTGATACTTGTCATGATTATTGGTTAGGATACTTGAAAATTTGTTTTGACAGTGGAATTCAATAGAGTAGTGACCTAGAATTATATTTTTGTGGAAAAATCTTAGTTCTAAGTTCTAATTAAGTTACTACCAAAAACTCATGGTTTTTTGTAATGTTGCTCTTGTATTTAATCCCGTCCCTTTGAACTTTCAATTTCTGATTATTTCTTAAGGTAAATATCATCATATAGAAAAACCATGTCTAGAAATGATATAAAGATAATATGTAAATCAATAGGAATAGAGAATTTTTTGCATATAGTCTATTAATTGTTTTTTTTCTTTCTTCCTATTGTTCCAAATTGTTCCAATGTACCAAAATATTTCAAAGAATAATTCCGATTTCAAAATAAGAAAGTTCATCAAATCTTAAGAAAGTGAAATAAGATTGCATAAGAAAAAAATCTGTTACACTAACCACTTTGCTAAACAAATTCTTCCCAAGTATACTTAATCTCATATTGCAAAGCACCTCGATTGTCCCTTGTAGTACAACTTGCAAGTGTAACTTGACTTTGGTGGTAGTGAAGTTGAAGAGACTAAAAGTAGCAAATCCTCCCAATGATGCATAGAAGGTAGCATTGCAGGAAGAAGATATTAGTCATCTTAATTGTCATTTTCTTCTTTCTCCAAGGTAGGCAGCTTCTTTTGTTCTTCAATCAATAGACTTCCAAAATCAAGGAAATATCCCATTGATTTGGATCTCTTCAAATCATTTTCTTTGTGTCCTTTGATACATCTCCAATGATCAACATTTGACTATTGTTTCATCTCTAAACCATGACGAAAAGAAAGGCCACCAAATCAACAAGATAAAGAATGCTTCATACAAAAAAGTGTTTTTTGTGGTATTGATTTTCCATACCAACAATCCAAAGAGGATTAGCAAGTCATAAGCCACCATCTTAGAAAGAGCAATCACCAAGATCTAAACATCCAACTAGGCAAAACTACTTCTTGATTTAATTTTGAGAATAGCTCCCAATATAAATATGAGTTGTTATCTCTCTATATGTGTACCCTTTATATTGAGCCAAAAGATTGCTCACCCAAATGAAAGAGAGTAGTTATTATTTAATTGATTATTTTAGTAATAATTTAGGTTATTTTAAGTTAGTAGCAATTACACACTCTTAGATAGAAAGTAAGAAGATGACTTACCATACCCAAGTCTAGAATAAAGCAAAATATGGAGCTTACATACATTACACATTATTAAGACAATTGATTATAAAGCTTAGCTCAAAGAAGTTAGAGTTTAGTAAATAGCTAAGTAAGAATAATCTTATAAAAGAATTTAACGTAAAGAACGATAAGGAGATTAGTGGAGAAGGTAGGAAAGCCAATAATAGCAATGAGGTTGAAAAAACTTAGCTCTACAAATCTAATTCATAATGCAAGAAGGGTGGCGCTATATAAAGACTAGATTGCATTAGGATGTTATCACTTTTATGTAATGCCTTGGCGATGCCAACAATAGAGCATGGTGAGCAAGCTGATTTCATGGAAAGTACCACTTATGACATATGATACAATCTATGGCAATCTAAATCAGTGGGACCTCTTTTTAATAATGTATATATATAAACTAAAGAATAAAGGTATTATTTTGCCATCACAAAGAGAGAAGATAACATTGAGATGATTGCAATCTTCTTTCTTAATGTATATAACTAAAATGATGGATATAGAATTAATGGAGTACATGATGAACAATACCAATATGTGTTCAAGTTTTTAATCTATATTTTTTATCCAAACAACATAAGTCAGTCAAGAAGGCTTGAGCAATAATACCAATGAAAGACATGACTAAGACATATGTGCCAAATTGAACCAAATTGCTCTTTGACTTGATGCTATAAGTTGTCACTTATAAAAATAATAGAAAAATATCATTTATTTCAAAAAATCTTTATTACTTATACTTGGCTAAAAGCCTCTTCAATATAAAAGAAGAAATGGCTTAGTAGCTTTATGACATTATCTACAAGTTATTATGGATATCAACAAACAAAAAATCATACATAATATCACTAAAGACAAAATAGATATTGCTATTGAAATTTTTATAAGTCTTGCTTTAAATTCCAATGTGGTTGTATATACTAATATAATATACAATTTTTTTAAAGAAAATAGTTTGTAGGTAGTGCCAAAGCTAAAGAAGCTATTATTTTTATAATAAATTTAGTAATTTTCAATGACAAGAATTTAATGAAAAATAAAATAATTGAGACTTTTTCAAAGAAGTACGATAAAATAAAAATAAAGAAATATATATCTTAAAAAGAAATTAGAATGGCTATTGCTAAAAGATAAAAAAATTAGAGACTCTTGAAACTAGATTAGAAGAAAAAAATGAGTTGATAAGAATAAAGAAGGCTTTATTCTTGCTTCTATATATACTATCTACATGGCAACATTCTTTGGGACCTTCAAAATGTGTTGACTTTGCACAACACATATCTTAACTTGTAAGGTAAGTTTTCTATATGGGTGCTACATAATTAGCTTATTCTATAAGCTACTAATATGAGTGATATGTGGTTAACTTGTTGATTAAGTTTCTAACCTATCAATTAATTATAAATACATATAAAATCAGAGAAATATCTATAAAGCTTCTAAAAAGCTTTCTTAAAAGCTATTATGAAATTAATCTATTTTTATCTATTTTTGTTTATTTCTATTATTTAAATAATAATTATAATGAATTTATGTTTGTGACATTATATCATGGACATACACATGTAAGCCAATAATTACTTATATAAATAAGTAGAAGTAAGTAGAGGAAGATAAAAGTAATTTAATTCTATAATATCTTCTATAAAAGCTTCCTAGAAGCTTCATAGTTATTGCTTTGACTTTGTAGGTATCTATAATTGACTTTTTGAGTTAGAAACGTGGTCAATAAGTTGGCCATATACCACACATGTTGTTAGCTTGAAGACTAAGCTAACTATGTAGCCTACATGTAGAAAAACTTGCCTTGTAAGTCAAAGCATGTATTCTACAAAGTCAACACATATTAGAGGTCCTATAGAACATCACCATGTAGCCCCTAGTTAGATAGTATATGTAGAGACAAGAATGAAGCCTTCTTCACTCTTATCAACTCCTTTCTTGCTTCTAGCTCAATTTCAAGAGTCTCAAGTTTTCTTGTCTTTTGACAATAAGCCATTCGAGTTTCTTTTAATATATGTACTTCCTTATTTTTATTTTGTCACTTTTTCTTTTATACGGATTTCATTGGTTTAGGCATCATTTTTTAGTTCATGTCTTTGATAAATTGATAAGAATATACTTATAATATCAGAGCTTTGTCTTGTCTTGATTAACAGAGGATTACTTTTTTTTCATGATAAGACATAAGCCTATTAGAAGTTGTGGATTACCTTCTTTTAAATTGATATTGCTCCTAGTATTTTCTTTGTGCTCAAGTCCTTTTTCTACTATCTTGAATAGTATTAGATATTTTCCTGAGTGTTATTATGACAAAGATTATTGAAATGAAGAGTACAACAGTACAAATGCAAGAGCAATTGAGGGAGTTGATGCTTGCGATGCATGAACTTAGCTTATTACCATAAAAATCAATAAAAATGGTAGGAAATGAAGATATAGAGATGATTAGAATTGCTTCAACATCTATACCAAATCATGTCCCTCCGTCCACAATAGAACATCTTTTAAGTATTAGAGAACCAAGAATTGCCTTGCTTAAGAAGTTTGATGGTATAAGATCCAAATTTTGGAGGATTTATCAATGAAGTACAACTTGTGATTGAACTTCAACCTCATAGCTATCCAATTCCAAGATCACAAGTTAGATTCATTAGTACACTTCTTTCAAGTTCAATATTATGGTGGTTTTTATCTTTTCTTGAACAATAAGATCCAATATTAGATAATCTAGAGGCATTTTTGACAAAATTTCAGTCTATATATGAAAAACATGATGCAACTCATGTTGCAACCAACAAGATTCATATTTTATAATAAGGAAATTGATCTATAACATTATATGCTTAATAATTTTGATGACTTACAATTGATATAAGTGAGATGATGCTGCACTTATTAGCCAATTTTTCTATAGATTATATTATGAAGTAAAAAAATTGATGCTCAACTCACTTAATCTTGAAACATTGAATGAAGCAATTGACTTTGCTATGAAGTGTGACAATCAAATTTTTGAATTCCAATATGAGAGTCACATAAGTAGGCCTCAATATTACTATAATTTGACAGAAACATCAATATATCTTCAACACATACATTCAAAAGTAGAGGATATGCAAATTGATGTGATATGTTTTAAACCTCTTACCAAGTAAGAAAAGACTTATCGCCATCAAAAAGAATTGTGCTTATATTATAGAGAACCTAAACATACTACTCAACATTATCCGAAGAAGCTACAAAACCACAAAATAAGGAGTACAATTGTCAAAGAAGATAATGTGTCAGAAAAAAAATTTGTCCAAGTATAATAGGGACCATGCGGCTGGAATCTTATACAATTTCTAATGAAGGTCCTATCCTTTTCTCAGAATCCTCTCTTTATTTTATAATAGATGTACATTTATGATCTAATAATTATAAAGCCTTTGCCTTGATAGATTTAGGAGCCTATGCTTGTTTCTTAGACATAGAATTTATTAAAAGTCATAAAATACTGTTAATACAAAAAATTAAACCTATTCATGTAGAAGTCATAGGTAGCCATCTGTTATCTTCTAGAGATGTTATTCATGAAACACTTCCTATAGATGTAGCAATAAATGGTCATAGTAGTTGCATAATCTTTAATATAATTAGATCTCATTCTAATCTAATAA